TGTGTGTTTATGTGGGAATGAGTGTGGGGGTAAGTCATGAAACTAGAAAACAGAGATCAGAAGAGGGGACAGGAGGTGATGCACACATGTGACAGAGGAGAAAACAGAGATCTGAGGATGAGGACAGGAGGTGATGCACACATGTGACAGAGGAGAAAACAGAGATCGGAAGAGGGGACAGGAGGTGATGCACACATGTGACAGAGGAGAAAACAGATCTCAGGAGGGGACAGGAGGTGATGCACACATGTGACAGAGGAGAAAAGAGAGATCTGAGGATGGGGACAGAAGGTGATGCACACATGTGACTGACAGAGGAGAAAACAGAGATCTGAGGATGGGGACAGGAGGTGATGCACACATGTGACTGACAGAGGAGAAAACAGAGATCTGAGGATGGGGACAGAAGGTGATGCACACATGTGACAGAGGAGAAAACAGAGATTGGGGAAATGGGGACAGGAGGTGATGGACACGTGTGACAAGAGAGTGGAAAGGAGGAAGCTTGGGGAGGGGAGAAAACGGGGTGATAAAGGAGCTGAGGAGGACCCACCAGAGCAGAGCATGTCTGACGATGTCACGGGCAAGCCTGGTGTCCACTAACTGAGAGAAGGAATGAGGTGGCTCCCTATGCCAAGCCAGAAGGCAGGACCACTGGAAGTGATCTGATCATGGGAGCACTTTGGCTTGAGGCCTCACACAGGGTTCTAGATTCTTGCCATGATTTGTCACTTCCTGTCACTAAGGAGACAAGCATCAGGTCCAGCTTGTGCCTCCTGCTGCTCCAGCATCTGCTGTCTCGCTGAGAGGGAGAGCTGTCTCCAGCCCTCTTGGATCAAGCTCCGTTCTGTCTGTACTAATGATACAGCTCACTAAGCTCCTGCACAGGGAATTCACCACATGAAATACACCCTAAAATACCCAGACATAAAACCTATTGATGGATAAAATGGCTTCTTGTGGCAAAATTTGTTTATTTAATATACAGTATACAAGACATTTAATTCCAGACCAGTACTGGACACGTCAGTCAGACAGCACAGACAGAGTATCTTCAACGTCACAGAAAAATCCTGATGCTAAGTGCCAACCTGGTGCATGAGGGTATCATAGCATGGTGGGTGAGAGAGAGCCTGGGATCCACAATGAAACAGAGCTCTCTGCACAACTTAGCAACTATGCCACAGCTGGCTACCCGGTGATAACGACAGCTATGGTGGGCTGCTGTGATACAGAGCGAGTGGGACTCAGGGTGTGTTTATTTGTTGTGCTGAAACAGAAGTAAAAATAATTTCAGAGCCTCCCTTCCCCGGTCCTGAAGATCGTACTGAGCTTTGAGAGAATGATGAATAAGTTGGCACTGGTCCCAGCCTCTCAAAATTCTTAGAATTTCCTGCACCATGGGCACGTCTGAGATAATTATGCTAATCAGATGACCCAGGAAGGGATGGAGAGAGTAGCCCTATGATTAGAATGTTGGAGTTCTGCAGCATGTAAGATCAGCCAGGCTTCTGAGAGGCAAGGAGGGCTACAGATACTCAGTCACATGACCAACACTCAACTCCAGAATGCCTGTGTGTTAGATCTGTATTCAGAAGCGTGGGTGAACATCCCAGGATAACGTTTCTCTGTATGTATGCATCTCTGTGTCCTCACCACAGCAGGGAGGTTTAATACACACACACACACACACACACACACACACACACACACGAGCTCATGGAAAGATTCTTATGAGAAACTTTCAGTGACTTCCTTGTGCATGATGTAATAAGTGTTTTACTAACAACCTTTGGTACAGGATCCTTGGACTGTCAGTGCCTCGGCAGTGTGTTCTTCACCTCAAACGAGCCAGTGTGCTGAAGCTCTCTGCATGCCTGTTGCTCCAAGTCTCTGCAAATATGTCTTTCCTCGATGGATCCATTCAAGAGTTACCCAGCCTATAAAGTCTTCCTCATTGGCCCTTCCTCGCTGGGGTTCTTACATGTGAATATCTCCATGATGCTGAGTTCCTGGGAGGCAGTATCCTGATCTTTTATTAGTCTTTCGATTCCACATGGTAAATATTCAGTGGATTCTCTTAGAAGGGAAGGATTATTTCCACCAAAGGTTCTGCCTTTGGTGTGCACTCATGTACTGTATACCAACTTTTCAGTCAGCGGTAGATCGGCGGTCTATATGCTGGTGGCCCCATAAGATTGAATCACTTGGTGTTGTCTCTGTGGTCATAACGTCAAGCATAGCTCATTGTAGATGTGTTTGTAGTGATGTTGCTGCTGGGGAGTCTAGACCAATGTCGTGTTCATGTGTCTTAACTTTTGATAAAAGGTTTAAAAATAAACACAGAAGAGGTTTATAGGATAAAGATGTGAAGAAAAATGGCAGCGGCTGCATGGCATCACCCTGATTCACCCTCTTCCTCCCAGCATTCAGCCTAGCTTTCTCTGCCTAGCTAAGTTCTGCCTTGCTGTAGGTCCAAAGCAGTTTCTTTATTCATTAATGGCAATCACAGCACACAGAGGGGACTCCCACATCATTATACAGCCTTTTGTCGTGTGATCCTATCTGGTCAACCCTTCTTACTGTTATGGAATATTATTTTAAGATGTGTTACATTTGTTTATGCTGTGGAATATTTGTTTAATGATTCAATCATGTGTTGTATTCTTTTATGTTGTATTTGTTTAACTCTGTGAAGCTGTGTTACTTTGACTGTCTAAAACACCGAATGATCTAATAAAAAGCTGAACAGCCAATGGCGAGGCAAGGATAAGTGGGGCTGGCAGACAGAGAGAATAAAGAGTAAGAAAAACCTGGGGGGAGAGAAAGAAGAGCAAGAGCAAGGAGAGGAAGATGGTAGGGACCCGCCACCCAGCCACACAGTCAGCCATGGAGTCAGAGTGAAAGTAAGATATACAGAAGTAACAAAAAGAAAAAGCCCAGGGGCAAAAGGTAGATGGGATAATTTAAGAAAAGTTGGCTAGAAATAAGTGAAGCCAAGGCTGGACGCTTATAAGTAATAATAAGCTTCCATGTGTGATTTATTTGGGAGCTCAGTGGTAGGCCCACAAAAGAGTCAAAGGGCAAAGAATTAAAAACAACCAACAACATCTTACAATTATACATATACATGTATATATATACATATATATACTCATACATATATACACGTGCATACATATATGTGTGAATATACATCACTGATATGATTCCGACTGATAAATGTTTTTCTTTGGATATCAAGGTCTTTTACTTCTACAGTAGAAACTTCCCTAGAAATTTTCTCACATATTGAGATCCATAACCAGAGTAATGATAAACAGACTCTAACTGCTGAAGCGAGTTGACAGGAAAATGGCACGAATCCCCTCCTTCACTGTGGTTGCTAAAGAAATATTGGAAGTTTGGAGAGAATCATTCAAAGATTCCCACCCCCAATGTCTATGCATTTGCATAATTTATTAGATAACCGAGCTTATAAATTGCAAATAAGCTGCCCATGCATCTAGAACAAGAGTGTGCACACTGAAGAACACACTGGGGATTTTTGTGCTTTGTTTAGGACTTTTGAAATCATAGAGAAATGAGATTAAAAATTCATCACTTAAAAAAATGACATGAATTCTCTTTCACTTTCTGGCTGATTTAAACGTTTTATGTGCAGTCCATATCAGTTACAGCCTTCACAGATCCCTGGCAAATGTCAGAATCTGTGTTTATGATGCAAGAGAAGAGCAAGAATATCAGAAATTATCAGGGATACTATTATTTTAGAAAAGAACCTTGGATGAAGGGGGAATTATACAGGCACTTTAGAAGCAGACTGGGCAGTGGGTAGGATTCTATCTTCCTCTAACATATGATAAAATGCAATTATAACATGCAATTCATATACGGGCTGCTATTCCATTGAGAATTGCTGTCGTAAACTAAGTTAGATTTTTTAAAAACTGTCACAGATTGTCTTTGTGTTCTGTGCTATATGTGGGGTGGAAGGTACAGGATAAAAGTGGGAAGGAGGGCAACGTACTCAACAACTGGTTAATTTTTAAAAGAGGTCTGGGGAGATGGCTTGGTGGGGAAAACACTTGCTGCACAGTCTGATGGCTACTGTTCAAATCCCCAGAACTCACATAAGCTCCAGCTGCATGTGGCTGCCCACCTGTAAGTCCATGGAAAAGAGAGGAAGATGAGGCCGGACTAGTCCTACCCACCAGCTTTAGCTTCAGCTGGGAGATCCTGTCTCTACAGAGGTGGAGAGCGATGGAGGAAGCCAGCCCCATGCCTCCCCACACATGCATGTGCACTTCTTCACCCCCACACACATGAACATGCATGCATACATATAGACATGCGCAAAAAGGAAAGGCTCTTGTAGGTGCTTTCATGGTGATGGCGTCTTGAATTCAGCTTTTAAATAGGAACTTCCCTTACAATGCAATCTTGGCAGAGATGAAAAACTTAATATCAAGAGCTGCTTTTTACATGATTGCCCTGTGAGATCAGGATGGAGATCTGCAAACAAGCTCTGTTTGCTGTCACCTAAGAAGTTGCCATGACCTTACTTTGGGCAGCTTGTTTCCTTAAGTCTGAAGAAACAATGTTTCTTACACAGTTACACTGCACTGTATAAGAAACAATGTTTACGTTTCTTACAGTTACACTGTAGGGCTGCATTCAGAAGGAGCCTGTCACCCAGTTCTTTCCAAGGGCTCCAGGAGGGCATGGCTCCGAGACCCGGCCTGTGCCTTTGCATATGTTGTTGACAGCTGTGAGCTATAGACCGCCCTCCCTTCAGAACCCCTGCTAAATGGGACTTGTAATCCCTTCCCCACCCACGCTCTTACTCCCCAGGGCAAGAATGTTGACTCCTGCTCTCCATCACCTGTCAGAATCCATCCTCCTGTCACTGGCTTATATGGACAAGTCGGCCCAGGGTCATGTGACCTTGGGTTGCTAAAAACAGCTCCATCACCCACTCCGAACCAGGGCCTGAAACAATGTCCTCCATAGAGAGAACCATAAAGGACACTTGATCGCGCAGCCCGTGGAATTATTTCCAGGAAACACTTGCAGAAGCCGTCCGGGAGCTCCCGTCCCTGGCAGCACTCTCCGGGACGGCCAGGAAATGAGCGCTTCTTTGAATTACAAGTCTTTCTCCAAAGAGCAGCAGACCATGGATAACTTGGAAAAGCAACTCATCTGTCCCATCTGCCTAGAGATGTTCACGAAGCCTGTGGTCATTCTCCCCTGCCAGCACAACCTGTGCAGGAAATGTGCCAGTGACATCTTCCAGGTAGGTTTGTCTGCAATTTGGAGGGTGTGGAGAGCCCTCCATCCTGTGTCAAGGGTTTGAAGTCAAAGCCGGTTCCCTTAGAGCGCTCTCTGAGGCTGTTTCCCCAGGTTTGGCTGTCAAGTCCCCTTCCCGCTTCCAAATCCACTTGTGTTTTAATTCTAAGAACCATAATTGTTGTTAGTAAAATAAAACAGAGGCGCCGAACCTGTTTAGAAATTGAAAATGAGTTACCGGCCAGGGTATGAGTGTTGGAACATCTGGTTGAAACTTGGGGTTATGAAAACACAGGATAGACAAATGCTTATTGCTCACTGTAGGTTTGGCTGTGGATCGGGGGTGGGGGGGGCAGGTTTCAGGACCACTTGCAGGAAGCTGAGGAGTCCATATTTATTGTGCCTAGTGTCAGAGAGTGAAAATAGTCTCTAAAAGACTCCCGTGGCTTTACTCAGTTCCTTTTTTTTCTTACTTGGCAAGAACAGGCCTCTAACCCGTACTTACCCACGAGAGGAGGGACCACTGTGGCGTCAGGGGGCCGGTTCCGCTGTCCCTCCTGTAGACACGAGGTGGTGTTAGACAGACACGGGGTTTATGGACTGCAGAGAAACCTGCTCGTGGAGAACATCATCGACATCTACAAGCAGGAGTCCACCAGGTAAGAGCGGCTCTGAGAGCCAAGCCTGCTGGAGGCTTTGTCTGTTTGCTTTCAGCTCAATGAATCGATGCATTACATTGTTCTTTAAATGGCTTTTCACTGCCAGTCCTTCCCAATGAGATAGAGGTGCTCACGGAGGAGAGAAGGAAGCTGGTGAGCCTGCTTCTGTACCATCTAAGGTGGTCATGTTGGAAGAGGTGTCCTGCCACCCACAGCCTTGCATTACCTTCAGTTTAGACATATCGATACACTGTAGACTCATTGTAAGTCCAGATCCTATGTTACAGAAAAACTCTAGTACAGACATGTATATAAGGCAAGAAACATCAATGTCCAAAATACCTCAGGTCCCAGTTGCCTTGCCTTAAAGTTGTCTAAACAACAACAACTTTACCAATTCAAACACCCTGACATCCTCATTTGTCCTAATATTGATTCTACGGAATGCTCAAGGCAAGAGATAATGCTGGTTTTCAGGAACTTCATCTACAGAAGTGGGAGAGGAAACAAACTTCCAGCTGTTTCCCTACGACTGTGTAGACTTAGCACCTACTTGCTGAGTGATTGGCGTGTCGTATGTATTCATTCACTGAAATATTTGTAAAGGCTTCTTATCATCACACCACACAGGTCACACCGTTCCTTCCCTAGAGTTTATTCCTAGAAGGCACAGTGTGAAGAGCCCTATCTCAATCCTGCATGGGTCATTTGAGTTCAAAACCTCAGCATCCGTATGGAGATCATGCAGAAATGGGGCACGTGCTTACGGAACATCTGCAGGGCTGCAAATGCCATGCGCCCTTTGCAGGAAAGTTGTTCCGTTAATCTAACATGTAATTATTGCAATTATTATGCCCATTAGTTTCTGCTTAAGATTCAGAGCTAAATCAGCTAGCACTAGGCTATAGATGGAACTGAGGGAATTGCTGAGGACATATTGTGGCCACCTGTCTCCCTTGCTTCCAAATCTTTTGACAAGAAGGAAAATGGTTACCAGAGTTACGGATCTGATCCCGTTGTATTTCATTGTGTTAAAATTCAATACATCCATAAAATGCTCTCATGTCTGGGGCTTGGGGAACATTGCAGAAGAAGGGTGGAAAGACTCGAAGAGCCAGCCGGTCATGGAGTTTGCTGTGAGACCGTGTCAGAAGCTACACACATAGCTGCCCCCCTCCCCCCAGCATGATTGCCTAAACATGAACTGAGCGAGGACAACAAGAAGAGACATGCCAAAGCGGGTGGGGAAAGACCACGAGGCTTCAGATCACAAAGAACCACAGGCGACAAAGAGTTGTTCAAAGTGGGAGAAATCGTCTTTCCCAGCAAAGAGTGCACAAATTGGATACCCAATTCCAAATGGTTAGTCCTGAAAACATAAAAAAAATAATATATAGATTGAGCAGGTTTTATTTAGAAATATATATATATATATATATATATGTACATATAGGCACATAATGGCAATTTAAAAAGTGGTCATGAATTTGAAAGAAATGAGGAGTAGATAGGAGGGCTTGGAGAGAGAAAAGAAAAGGGAGAAATAATGTAATTATATTATAATCCCAAAAATAAAAAAATGGAGCTGTACGTTGTCTCCTTATGAGATTACCCTGGCAACTAATAACCAGACAATTTTTAAAGGGCATTTATGTGGCTATGGTTTCAGTATCACGTACAGTGCCTTTCCAGAACAGGGCCTCTGCAATGCTCGCTCCTTACACTGCACAGAGAATGCCCCGCTGACAGGCTTCTGGGTTCTATCTATTGCTGTTATTTTTCTGTCTCACTGCTCACCTGGTGGGAACTCCAGACATGAGTGTAACAGCATTTTCTATGAAATCTAGAGGACAGGAAGTATTAAAGCTTGTTGTGTTAGTCCAACTACAAGACACAGCCTGTCTCACCATAAAGTCAGCCTGATGCCCCTTGAGAGGATGGGGAACAAACTGTACAAAAACAATGAGCCAAATCTCTACCACTAAGCAAGAGCCAACTGGAAGACTGATAATTTTGTGATTATAAGATTCTTCCATCGTTTCTTAAACTCACGTCGCTTTGGGGTGTTTTTATGTGGTACTAGTTGCCAAGAAGGGCTTAGTCACATCTAACTTAGCTGTTCCTGAAGTTTGTAAGTCTTATCAGACTTGAACCCCAAGGCTTGGGATATATTAGATAACCTTAGAATAACCTTTGGCACACAGAATAAGCTAACCCCAGCTCTAGTCTTTGGCAGTGTCAACAGAAAGGGAAAAGGCTACCGTGATGGACTTTGAAGTATCATTCGACTCTGGCCTCTTACAGAACAGCTGGGATCTTGACAAATTCTGGCCTTAGCTAGCATTCTGCATGGTGATGCTCTATCCACAGTCTGGGTCGGGCAAGAGAAGCCACTAGCTTGGTTAATGTTATCATTGAAAATAGAGATTAATTTGCTGCTATTATAAGCAAAATGGCTTTGTATTGTGTGTTAGACTCTATTCAAGTGCTTTACCTATGAATTAGGTGTTCCCAATAGTCCACTGAGGAGGGTTATATTATCCCTTTAACAAAATTTTTGAATGCTTATGCATGTGTGTGTGTGCACGCGCATGCGTGTGTGAGATATGCATGTGTGCATGTTCACGTGTGGGCAGGTGTATGTGCATGCGTGTGTGGAGGTCAGTAGTTGATCAGACGTTCCCCTCTGTTACACTCCACTTTATTTTCTTTTCTTTTTTTATTTTTATTTTTTTGGTTTTTCGAGACAGGGTTTCTCTGTAGCTTTGGAGCCTGTCCTGGAACTAGCTCTTGTAGACCAGGCTGGCCTTGAACTCACAGAGATCCACCTGCCTCTGCCTCCCGAGGGCTGGGATTAAAGGCATGCGCCACCACCGCCCAGCTCCACTTTATTTTATTTTATTTTATTTTTTTTGGTTTTTCGAGACAGGGTTTCTCTGTGGTTTTGGAGCCTGTCCTGGAACTAGCTCTTGTAGACCAGGCTGGTCTCGAACTCACAGAGATCCGCCTGCCTCTGCCTCCCGAGTGCTGGGATTAAAGGCGTGCGCCACCACGGCCCGGCTTCCACTTTATTTTTTAAGACAAGATCTGTCACTGGAACGAGAGCACAGCTGGCTGTCAAGACGGCTTTTCCTTGGTGTCACCTGGGTTAGGATCACAGGCACAGGCCACCACACTGTTTTTAAGGATACTTAGAATCAAATGCATGGCAAGTACTCTATTGACTAATGTATTTCCCAGCCCTTTTGAACTGCTCCAATAGGAATGAATACATAAACACTTTAATTTTTAGAGAGTCTTAAGCAGGACTAAAAGGCCTCTAGTAAGGGTTGTTCCTGCCTTTCTGTCGCAAGCCCTAAACTGTCACTCCCCAAATGCAATTACTTTTAATTCTCCTAGCTACTTCCTGCTGCTTGCCACCAATGATAATTGTGTTACTTGTTTATTTTTGAACAACATTTTTAGATTTATTTACTTTATGTGTATGAGTGTTTTACCTGCGTGCATGTATGTGTACCATGTTATGTGCCTGATACCCATAGGGGCCAGAAGAGGGTGTCAAATCCCCTAGAACCAGAGCTATGCATGGTTAGGAGCTACCATGTGGATGCTGGGAACCAAACTCTGGTCCTCTGCAAGAGCAACAAAGTGTTCTTTTAACCACAGAGCCAGTCCCACCCCGTGTGTGTGCTGCTATGTTTCTATCTCCTGCTTTTGTTTCCAATATTAGGGATAGGGGGATCCCTCTCACTGCAGGTTCCTACTCTCTACTTGGGAATTCCTTTTTCTCCCTCTAGGGTTGACTCTCTTGGACCCGCGTCTTATCTGTCAGCTTACACTGCTGCTTTTGTGGACCACATTTCCATATGCAATCTCTTAAAATGTCCCCTGAGTCCCTCTTTATAGCCACCCACCTTCACAATAGCCCATAGAGGTTCTGCTAAAGATTTGGGCTGCAGTTCTCAAAACTTCCTGGGACTCTAGGTTTCTGATAGGCTTCTGTCCAGCAGGCCATCAGCAGAAATGCAACTGAAGAAAGTCACTTTTGTTTTGTATAGACATTTCCAATTTTCAGCATTTGGCTGACCTCTCCTGCTTGCCGCCATCTTACATTTGTGTACATTACTTTTATATATTTTTATTTCCTCGATCTCTTTTGGGAGATTCCCACAGGAGGCACGAAGAGCCGCCTCTGCTCATTCTGCCACATTGAATTAGAAGACACTTCATTTTATTCCCAGATGGATGAAAACTGGTTTAATAATGCATTTAAGGCCATACATACATGCATGCATCCACACATGCAGAAGTTGGAATTAAGCATTCAGATCACCTTAACGACACCAGGACTAACTGAACTTCCTCATCAGATGACCTTAATACAATGGGACTGGCTGAACTTCCTCACCAGGACTTAATGTCCACTCCTCAGTAAACACTATGGCAGCCCCAGCAACCTAGGAGACCAGAGAGAATAGCTATAGGTGCCCATAGTACTGAACAGTGAGAGGCTACTTCCAGCCTTCAGTACTGAGCCCTGAACCAGAACTGTGTGCTCAGCCACAGCCACCAGAAAGTATTTACATCCTCCATTCTCTGTGCCAAACTTGTTTCAGGTCTGTTATTTGGTGTAAGTGGTCCATAGGTTTTTCTTATTTAGAAGAGTTGGTGCCTCTAGGCCCATGTTGTTCCTAAAAGAAGCAAAAACAAAACAAGAAAATTACTAATAAATAAAGGAAGTATTGTGGAAAAATGAGTAAATTGTATCATGAACAAAAATAAAATATAACCTTCTGGCTGTTTCCACATGTTCAATAACCGTGTTTTCTGCATCGCCTGAGCTCTGTGATGTCACATCCCCAAAAGCTGGCCACGGTGCCCTCAGGACATGGGGAGGAAAGCAAGCCTGTTGGGGGCGGGGAGGTTCCAGCAGATATGCACCAGACTGCTCCAGCAAAACCGCAGTTAACACCAAGTGCAGGCATAGAGGCCAACTCAGAGCTGGCAGAGGCCAACTTGTGACTCCCGCTCTCAGATAACCCACTGGATTTCCCACTTTCAGTTTCTTCTCGATTTTATCAGCCATTCATCGAACACCTGTTTCAGCTGCACTCCTTTGTGTGGGAAACGCTGCTCTAGGCACAGGGTGTACAGCAAAAAAGATGACCACCGACTGCGGCTCACCTTCTGGTGGAGGAGGAGACAGGCCTGGGAAGGGAAGCAATCTGCCCGTTCATGGCCATGCTTTCTGACTTGAGTACCAAATAAACGGGTGAAGAGGGAGGCCGTCGATTTCATGAACGACCAGAGAGAGATTCCTCTTGCAAACACTAGGTTCCAAAATCTTGGACCTGGAATCTCATGAAACTTCTTTACAAGATCTAGAGCTTTCGCAACATTTATTTCTGCCAGTGTCTTGTACGTGACTTCTACCCAGTACAGTAGCGATGTAGCACCACGCCCCCTGCCTTCTGGGTCTGGTACTGCAGCTACATGTAATCCCACACACCAGCACTGGGGTGCTCCATCACTTGGAGGCATGACTCACAGGAGAGAGTGTGCTTCACATCACACTACATCTTTACACATCTGAGTGATATTTACATCACACAGTGTGCGTACGTAATCCACACGTATACTTTCAAGTGTTGATACCTGGAATTCTTATCAAGGGTAATTCCCAGTTCAACTGCTCTATTACATTTTGATTTTTAGAAATACTGCCCATTACTTGCTAGAGGAATTCTTTGTTTAGACAGCCCTGTGGGTTTTTTTAAGAAGGAGATTTCAACAGCAACTGAGGGGGAAAAAAAGTAGTACCAAATGGAACACGAGAGACTCTGGCATTCTTTTGGTCAGGGCTGGGGTTAGTCAGGGCTAGTGCATTTGCAATGCTTGTCGATACAGATTTATCTCCCTGCCTCCCCCCAGGCCAGAGAAAAAGTCTGAGCAGCCCATGTGTGAGGAGCACGACGAGGAACGCATCAACATCTACTGCCTGAACTGCGAGGTGCCCACCTGCTCCCTGTGCAAAGTGTTCGGCGCTCACAAGGACTGCCAGGTGGCTCCCCTCACCCATGTGTTCCAGAGGCAGAAGGTAGGAATCTCACTTCTCCGCGCCGCCCCTTCTAAGCACCCGGAGCAACTCCGCATAGCTGAAACGGGAGCTCAGTGGAAGGCAGGCTGTACGTGGAAGGCCCCACGGGAAGGAGTCCTGTAGTTTCTCTCATATTCAGTTCTCTCCGAGATTGAGGTGCTGGCCGGAGAGGGAGGATGCTAAGGTTTAGAGCATGGCACAGAAGGACTGGTGACTCTCTGTGACCTTTGGAGGTTGCTGAAGATACGTTGTGTTAAGGGGGCTGGTCTAGTGCCAGCTGCTAACGATGACTCAGAGTTAAACTACAGCCAAGAATTCGATGGGCTTCACTTTCCCCTAGAAACACGGCTTGAGGTCTGGGCCTCCTGCTGGCCTCTAAGTCGCCTGGGCCAATGCTAAAAGGGACTCTTCAAATGTCCCTCTTCCAGGGACCGGATCTGGCCCTCCCCATTCTGAGCCTGGGCAGTCTCCTCACCAGCTCAGGGACTCTGCTTCCTGTGGCAGCCGTCTAGAACTCATGAGTCTATGAAGATAAAGGGGGGGGGGGGTCAGTCGCATCTTCTACTTAGCAATCACTGATTCCAATTCTGTCTCAAAGGCCAGAGCTGGAATCAGTTTGGAAGCCAGACTCGTGCGACACCTGTTGCAGCCAACAATCTCGCAACCAGCAACCTTGATTCGCTTTTGTTGCTGTTGTTTATTTTCAGCTTCATTTTATTAACTTTGATTCCTCCTCTCCTTGCCCCCAAGGCCTAGCATGGTACAGCTGTTTGGTATCTACTTTTGACTACTTCCCTCAGAGGCCCGGAGATCCACGGGATGGGCAAAGGGAGGGGAAGTGGGACGCCCACGCCTTTCCTCTTTGGTCAGCGTAGCTTCACATTCACTATAGGTTTCCATGTTCACTTCCACATGGAGAGACGGCTGCAGGTTGTTGTTGTTGTTTTTGTTATTCTCAAGACAGCGTTTCTCTATGTAATCCTGGCTATCCTGGAACTCGCTTTGTAAACCAGGCTGCCTCAAGCTCACATAGATTCAACTACAGTTTCAAATGCTTGACAACCAGGCTTACTAGGGTTTGGCCTAGACCCCTCCTTTAGTTCAGGTTCAAATTGGTTGTATGTCTTGCTCAATAACCTGGAGAAGGTCAGGCCAGAGGGCTAGGCTTCCCAAGTCCCCACTCAGTGCACCTTGTGGCTCCATGTCCGAGCCAGAGGAGGGTAAGCAGGAAGAGAAGAATACGTGTTGGGTTAAAAGAACACAAGAATTTTAAAGTTGTAACACCCTTGCTAAAGCCGGCCTCATGTTACAGCCTAAGTTTGTGCGACAGTCTATGAACATTTCTGCACTATATTAGCATAGGAGGATTGCAATATACATGTGCCCAATAGATAAATATTTATTGCATTTATTGCTCAAGTAAAATTAGTCCTGAGCTGCACTAGACAATTCATTCAAGTTCCCAATATTTGAGAAATATGTCACATATTTGAGTCTGTCACACCGTCCTAGATACGAACTGTTTAGAATTCTCCAGCTTCGATATACTATTATTGATAGCTTATAATTGTTCTTCGTGTTTTTAACTGAATTCACGAAAACCATGGAACCTTGTCTCACACAGAGCCAGCATTTGCTTACAGTATCAAGAGGTTTCCAGGTTTCCCACGACGAGCCTCCACCTCAGTCTTTAGATGGGATTAATTACAATCCCTGGGCTTGGTATGAGGAGTGACTTAATTCACATCTAAATTAATAATGACAGAACATTCTGGCTTTCCTTGGCCATCTTCATCCTCAGACTTGTTTTCTGGGGCCAGAGGCCAGAGCGGCATCACTGAGCCACCCTGCCAGCCTAAACGGGTGATGTAGGTCACCAGCAGCTTCTGTTCTTCTCCCGCAGTAAGAATATGTCTCGTGAGAAATCCACCAGCTTGTTTGTGGGCTTGTTTTCTCCTTAGGGATTAAATCCCCCGGAGGATAATGCTGTGACCAGCCCATGATCATCCAGGCTAGGAAACCCCTAAATAACTGGAGTCTGTTTTCTCTGCTAGTCGGAACTCAGTGATGGCATTGCTGTGCTTGTGGGAAGCAACGATCGGATCCAGGGAGTGATCAGCGAGCTGGAGGACACCTGTAAAACAATCGAGGTAGGTCAGCTGACTCACAGGGACTCAAAACCAGTCCTGATAGCCCTACAGGCGCATGGTTGTCTCAGTGGCACACTAGAGACCCCATCACAATGTTCCATTCTTCCCCTATAGAATGGCCTCGTTCCTGGCACTTAAGGGGACTTAGCTCATGGCTTGATGAGGTAGATTCTTACCATAGTTGTTCGGGCAGTAATAACTGTGTGTGTGCTCTTCCTCAGTCAACTCCTTTAGAAAGGTTAGCAGCAATGCAATCAGTTGCCGGCAATGGAAGGGAACACTGTTGCTATTATTTAACAAGATTTCTTGGTGGAAACCTGGAACAGTCTTTGGAAATGCTAACAATGCTTCAGAGAGTCTTGTAAAGGCCTGAGCTGCACAGCTGTGTCCTCATAACAGTCATCATGGGGGACCCCAAGGAGGAGAAAGATCTCCCCAGTTGTGGCTAGCAGGCTAGGGTACTAACCACTCAGCTTCCGGTGCACGGTTCTCATTGCTGCGTGCGAGGCCTCTCTCATGGCCTGTTATTTCCTTCTGTCCCCATCTCCTAAAGATAACAGTTTCGACAGATGCTGGATCGTCTCTGTGTGCCTTCTCATAAAATAGGTATTTTTTATGGATGTGTCTTAGTTGCTTATCTATTACTATGAGAGATACCATGACCAAAACAGTTTATAAAAGGAATCAGTTAACTGGGGGCTTGCTGAGAGTTTCAGAGAGAGAGCTAGAGAGAGAAAAAGAGAGAGAGAAATTGAGACTGGGCCTGGTGTGGGCTTTTGAAACTTCCAAACCTACCCCCGGTGACACTCCTACTTCAACAAGGTCATACCTTCTAATCGTTGCCAAAATAGTTCTACCACCTAGGGACCAAGCATCCAAATATGTGAGAGCAAAGCATCACAGCCTTTGAGTTTCTCAAATGTTATGGCATCGTGGCTTCTTTGCGTTTCGAACCAAGCATTTTGTTTTTAAGACCCATTTATGTTACTATAAGCATGAAAGGTGACAGTCACACTTATTCTGCAGAGCTTACAGGCATGAAGATGCTTAGCACGGTACCTGGTGAGAAGTGTATGATGTCATCGCCTTCCTATTACCGAGGTCAAGTCTATTATTATAAGTTTAAGTCCATGTCCGAAGGGATGGCATCAAGATTTCATTAGTTATCATTAGCCCATCTTAGATTTATACATCATTAAAATCAATTTCCTTTCTCTCCACACTCCTGTTACTGAAAAGATCTTTGGTATGTGGAGATTCACTTACAGGGAATGTTTTCTCCTGGTGAAGAGTGTAAGTGATTCAGAAATAGCGGACAATGAGGACTACTGAGAACTCAAGAACAATGGCACTGGGTTTTGATCCTACTGCACGTACTGGCTTTGTGGGAGCCTAGGCAGTTTGGATGCTCACCTAACTAGACCTGGAAGGAGGTGGGTGGTCCTTGAACTTCCCACAGGGCAGGGAACCCTGATTGCTCTTCGGGCTGATGAGGGAGGGGGACTTGATTGGGGGAGGGGGAGGGAAATGGGAGGCGGTGGCAGGAAGGAGGCAGAAATCTTTAATAAATAAATAAATTAATTAAAAAAATAAAAATAAATAAAGGGAAAAAAGGCAAAAAAAAAAAGAAAAGAAAAAGAAATGGGCAATGGAAACTGTTTTCTCTCTACTTATTTACAGTGAAGATCAGTCACTAGCCATGAATCAGCATGCCAATATGAGGCTGCGTTGAGTCTGGTGTGTATAAATAGCCTGTTGCCTGTGTTGAACGAGGTGGCAGTCTCTAGTCACCTCCTAGAACTGTGGCTCCTCCCCAGAGATGTCTTTGCAGAGAGGCTGGCTTCCTGTCTGGGATAAAGACGTTAAAAGATGTGTGTTAAGTCCTGTGGACCACTGAAGTCGTGGGCGAGGGAAACAACTTCACCCTGGCTGTGTTTAGGAAGGACAATAGGTCGCCAGTCACAGAGGCTAGCCAGGGTCTCAGCAGGAAACAACCGTCTCTAGTTACACTTGAGAACACGCCAAGAAAGTACAGGTTTAAAGCTAATTCAGCAGGAAGGGTTTAGTTAGGGACAGTATGGAGAGCAGCCGAGGTCAGAACCATCACCCCGTTCTCACTGGTAACATCACCATCTAATTCAGCATACTTTTCTAAGTCTTTCCACAGAGCCCTAGAGAAGGGTGTGCTATCACTCCTTCCGAGTCAGGAAGACAGTGGCTGTATTTAAAGTGTTCATCGTCACACCAGGCTTGGTGACGTGCACCCCTAATTCCAGCCTCTCAGGAGGGCGAGGCAGAGGGATTAGGAGATCTAGACTAGCCTATATAAAAATAAAATAAAATAAGAATAAAAAGAGGCCGAGGAGAAAGAGTGATTTTCTAGCACACAAAGCCCAGTTCTTTGAGGAGAGATTAATCTACCCCCCCCCCACACGTTTATTTCACATTTATTTATTTTGTCTTATTAAGAAAATAAGATTTTTTTTTAAAGCACCATGAGCATAGGGTTATGCATATTGTATAAGATATACAGAATCATACCTGACCAAGTTAAATGCCTACATCCATATCTAACCAGTACTTTCATGGGGGGAAATGCTAAAGGGCTAGGACCTTTAAGTAGCAGGACTGGGGTGAGGGGGTTGTTTGTTTGTTTATTTGTTTGTGATCATTTATCACTCTGTAGCCCAGATTGGCCTTGAACTTGTGGTAATGTCCTTCCTCAGCCTCCTAAATGCTGGGATTAGAGACATAAGCCATCATGCCTGGAAATTTTCAATGTCTTGCTTATGTATTCCTGCATTTCCCAGCTTTGTGAGTCCCATATTTTTAATAACTGGTAATACCAGGCGGGAATGAACAGATATAGTCACCAGGCGGGAATGAACAGATGTGGTAACACCAGGCAGGCAGGCAGGAATGAACAGATGTGGTCACCAGGCGGGAATAAGCAGATGTGGTCACCAGGCGGGAATGAGCAGATGTGGTAACACCAGGTGGGAATGAGCAGATGTGGTAACACCAGGCAGGCAGGCAGGAATGAACAGATGTGGTAACACAGGCAGGAATGAGCAGATGTGGTCACATCAGGTGGGAATGAGCAGATGTGGTAACACCAGGCAGGAGTGAACAGATGTGGTCACCAGGTGGGAATAGGTAGATGTGGTCACCAGGTGGGACTGAGCAGATGTGGTCACACCAAGTGGGAATAAGATGTGGTCACACCAGGCGGGAATGAGCAGACGTGGTATGGATAAGCATGGCTCTTTCTCGCCAGTTTAGGTGTTTCAGGTGGAGATGGAGGGGCCGCCTCAGAGCCACATGGAGAGCTTTAACTATAATTCCTATATTCTGTTTTAAAAGGCCTGCGATCAGGCCAACCTCCATCTTGTTCACCTATAACCCAGAAAAGCCCTGACGTCAAGGTTGGCAACAGCAAGCATTAATTAAATGCCACATGTCACTTAGCTCTCTTCACAGAAGGAATAATACAACAGACTGAGCATCATCTGGGAGACTCCAGAGCCTCGGCCCATACAGAGCTGTTTTAATGAGCAAGGGCACAGGTTGAGGGGGCAGGAGCTGAAGCCCAATCTGTGCATAAAGGTCCGACTTGTTCTTTTCCTAGAAATATTCTGGTCTGTGTTCATGGGACTTCTCCAAGTTTTATAGCTGGAGCCCTGAATGAACGTGTGGACTTACTAACCTCATTCCTCATAAGATGGTTCTTTGTTCAGTGTTATTAACTTGATGTCTCTTTTTCTATTTCTTTTTTGGGAGGGAGAGTGGAAGGGGACTTTGAAGTACTGTATCTCATGTACAGCTGCATGTCTGCAGAAGTGTCCAGATAAACGCTGGAGGAATGCAGCGGAGACACGAGTGGGTGGCAGAGCCACAGGTGCCCAGCGACAAGTGGCCAGGCTGAGGTTTTATCTTCAGGCTATTTTGGACGCAGAGCTCTGCTCCTTACATGGTGAGAGCAGTGGTTATCATCACTTCAGAATTTTCCCGTCATGCCTATTGCACAAGCCTAAACTGGGTCTGTCGTTTTGTCTTACTTCGGGAGATGACATTCTGAAAGCGGCTGGGAATGGAGCGGGGAATGCTGTAGCCTAAAGAACATCAGATGGATCTCCACATTTCTAAGTCACAGAGTCTTGGAGCTGTGGCGTCAGAGAGATACCATCAATTATCCAATCTGGCCTGTCACTACCATCACAAATCATCTTTTTAAAAACTGTCCCAAGATTAAGTGCTTCCCATAACTTTGAATAGTTGTAACTCAGTGTTTCCTTTGGAGGAGTTGATGAAGTAGAGATTTGGATCATACATTTAAGTATTCATTTCTCTAAACAAATGAAATGGAAATTTTTGGGTGAAGTCAAATATTTATAGATGCAGATTTTATAGCCATTTGATCATCTTCCAAACCCCTATTTCCCAAGAATTTATTGAATGTCTCATTGTATTAACATAATGCTAGAAAATAGCCATGTCCTAAACATAAAAGATGTCATGTAGTTGTTGTTTCTCCCTCTGTGGGAGATCTGCCACCCACTCCCAAATAAATACATGGAGACTTATTCTTAATTATGAATACCCAGCCTTAGCTTGACTTGTTTCTAGCCAGTTTTTCTAACTCAATTTAAATTATCCCATTTCTCTTTGACTAAGCTTTGCCTCTGGGCATTTTACCTCTCTTTATTCTATCTATATCTTTCTTTCCTTCTTACACCTAGGTGGCTGGCCCCTGGCCTCCTCCTCTCCTCCTTCTCTCACTCTTCCCTCTTCTCATTCTCCTTTTCTTGAGCTTAGATTTCTCCTCCTATTTATTCCCTTGGCCTGGCAGCTCCACATATCCCTCTCTCCTGCCTAGCTATTGGGTGTTCATCTCTTCATTAGACCAATCAGGTGTTTTAAACAGGCAAAGTAAGACAGCTTCACACAGATAAACAAATGCAACATAAAAGTGTGCAACACATCTTCACATCATTAAACAAATATTCCACAGCATAAATGAGTGTAACATATCTTAAACTAATATTATACAACGACACTGAATTTTGGGAAATGCTTATTCTAATAGAGTATCTAGACAGTTAATCAAACGTGCAACATTAATTTTGTAGAAAAATAAGTACTTAGGAAGGAAAACTGAACCAATAAAAATCCGACCATTAAGGATGAGGAGATAGCTCAGTTGGTAAAAGGGTGTGTCTTGTCAGCATGAAGACCCAAGTTTGATACTCAGAATCTACGTAAGAAAACCCTGGAATGAGACACATACTTGTAATCATAATGACAGGGGAGGCAGAGAGACATACGTTCTTGGGGCTTGCTAGCCAGACAGCTTAGCATAATCATTGTTTAGGTAAAAGACACTCTCTTGTTTTTCCATACAAAGCTTCTTTTTTTCAAATGCTTGTCCAGTTTTAGCAAATGTGTTTGAGGTGTGCTTATGTGAGTAGTTTACATGGCTGTGTTTGTGTGTTCTTGTATGTGTGGGTGTGGGTGTGAACATGTGTGCATAGAGGGCTAAGGTCAGTATCGTCAGCAATTGCTCTGCCTTATATTCCGAAGCAAGGTCTCTGGCTGAACCCAGAGTTTACCACTCTGCTGTGTCTGACAAGCCAGGTTTCTCCAGAGAAGCTGCTTCCAAGCTCTGGGGTTACAGATGAGCTGGCATGTCTGCACAGCATTTACTGGGTCCTGGGGATACAAACTCTTGTCCTCGTGATTGCGGAACATTACCCCCACCAAGCCATCTCCACAGCCCTGTACATCTTGTTTTGAATTATTGCTGATAATTTATAAAGACGACTAAAAACAGACCTTCTCCATTTTGACATTTCTATAAAGGCTACAGCCAGCTGGTGACTTTAAGTCAGTATTGATGAAGCCCTACCTACTTCCCTGGGAATAGCTGAGTTCCTGATTTGCTTTTCTTTTCATTTGGGGTTTCAGTCTTGGTTAGAAAGAAATATTCCACCTGTTCCCATCTTACCACATCAGTGTGCACAGGATAATCTTCCCTTTATGAGATAATATCTCCTGTATCACATCCAGCTCACTGCTGCGTTCAGATAATAAGGGTTACAAATGAGTGGAGGCAAGGTTCCTTTCAAGAGATCCATAACAAAAAAAAGCATGAATAGAATTGTGGTCTAAAACAGCGAATTTGGCTGCATCCAGTTGCTTGGGCTGGAGAAGGGAATCCCAGGTGCAGAGGCCTGTGGGAAACTACAGAATCTCCATGTGAGAAGAGGGAGGCAAGTGTGTACAAATTAGGAAGGAGCACAATTTTCTTCACCTCCCCTTGCCAAATATGGCCTGTAGCATGCGCAATCTAAATAAAATAGAATGTAAAACCTGTTCTGATTTCTATGAAGAAGACCAGGGATGGAAAAATGACTTAGTTGGTAAAGCGCTTGCCGTGCAAGCAAAAGGACCTGAGTTCAAACCTCAGTGCTGACACAATCAGGCACAGCAAAGTGGAGGACCTGAGTTCAAATCCTCAGCGCTCACACAAAGGATCAGGCACAGCAAAGGGACCTGTGATCCCAGCACTGAAGAGCAGAAACACTGTCTAAAACATATGATGGATGGAAACAAAAAAAAAACACAAAACATCGATCTTTGGCTTCCACACACATGTGCACATACTTATACATGCATTGGCACACATATGCCCACACACACGTGCACAAACTTAAACATGTATTGGCACATGTATGCCCACACACATGGATATGAACAGACACACACACACACACACACACACACACACACCATTGATTTGTTTAAGCAATGGGACGGAGTACTTTTCTTCCATCAGTAGACGCTCTTGTCTCGTAACGTGTCCGGATGATGGGTTCACTAGACTCCCTCACACACCGTTTCTAACACCGGCTGGCCCATCTCACAGGAATGCTGCAGGAAGCAGAAACAGGACCTGTGTGAGAAGTTTGACTACCTGTACGGCATCCTGGAGGAGAGGAAGACCGAAATGACCCAAGCCATCACCCGAACACAGGAGGAGAAACTGGAGCACGTCCGAGCCCTGATCCGGAAGCATTCTGACCACCTGGAGAACGTATCAAAGCTGGTGGAGTCAGGGATCCAGTTCATGGACGAGCCGGAGATGGCAGTGTTTCTGCAGGTAATGCTTTTTGCCACCAAGAACACAAACTAAAAGGCAGGTTTTCGGTTTAAAAATCCATTTCATGGGCCGGGTGGTGGTGGCGCACGCCTTTAATCCCAGCACTCGGGAGGCAGAGACAGGCGGATCTCTGTGAGTTCAAGGCCATCCTGGTCTACAAGAGCTAGTTCCAGGACAGGCTCCAAAGCCACAGAGAAACCCTGTCTCAAAAAACCAAAAAAAAAAAAAATCCATTTCATTAACTAAAGGCTTCCTCCATTTGGTATTGCTTAAGTAGAGAGGGTGGCATCTAGAAACCCAGCTAGGAGGTTCTGAGTCACAAACAGAGGACTAAATCTCACCAACTTAATGTGAACACGCCAAGTAAGCTTCTCTTTCTTGCTTTCCCAGAACGCCAAGACCCTGCTACAAAAGTGAGTACTTTCTGTTTGACCGAACAGCACACTTTTTTATTTTTGCCCAAGGCTATCAGACTTTAGTCGGTGACAGAGAATGACACCTGTCTTTGCTGCAGGATCGCGGAAGCGTCGAAGGCGTTTCAGATGGAGAAAGTGGAACAGGGTTATGAGATCATGAACCACTTCACCGTCAACCTCAATAGAGAAGAAAAAATTATACGTGAAATTGACTTTTACAGAGGTGTGTTATTGCTTTAACGAGCTGTTTCAAACTGTGCTGCGGAAAAGCAGTTGAGGGAGAGAAAGCGGTTGAGGGAGAGAAAGCGGGGAGTGTACGAAACCCCGAAGGAAGTACATCTATAACTTCTCAGGGATCACAAACCATTGAGATGCCTGGTCTCACCACAGGATTACATAGCTCTTGACTGCTTATTTTTATAGTGTTTTAATGCCATTATCAAGAGTTTGACACTGGGTAAGGAAGTCCTTAATAAGTGACATACATGGTGATAATTCAACTTCAACTCTACCCCAGAATATGAATCAGAGTGGTGTAAAGGAAAAAAGTTTCAAGATGAGTCCAAAGAAAAGACAGAAGGCATTTGGGGTAGGGAGGCCAGCACACAGAGGGTGAGATCAGCCAGAGCATGGAAATAGGATAGGGTCCACGAGCTGTAACTGCAGCTTTCACTCTTGACTCAGAGTTCCCATTCTTTGAACTCTCCTGATGAAATACTTGAAAGGGAGACAGTAACTCTGGAGCTGGCTCCAGCTATGACTGCCTTGACTCATAGGAGAATGAAAGAGGGGTGAAAACAGCAGCCGGCTAGACCACTAGCTATGCCGTGAGCTTGCACCAGCCCCACAGACACACGTTCCAAGGCCCGTCTTCCTAATGGATTATCACGATCTGTGCAGGAGCCTGCAGATATGGTGGCTGTGGTAGAAATGTGAGCAGGCTCCATGAGTGAGGTTGTGTGAGGGGCAGGGAACAACTTTATACTGGGGAGGAAAGCAAGCCAATGCTTCCTTCATATTGGCCCTGCCGGGGTCAACGTGAGCAGCGCAAGGTCTCAGCATGACCTGGACCACTGTCGAGTGTCAATTGACATGATTTCTCTAGCCCTAGACTGTAGGTGCTAGCTATTAACTGTTTCCATGGCTACCATGGTCTTATCTCACTAGAAGAGGAAGATGAAGAGGACGCAGGAGAAACAGAAGAAGGAGGAGAAGGAGAGGATGCAGCGGAAGTAGAAGAGGTAGACAGTGTTCAAATGGAGTCATCGGGGGAAGAGGAGAGCCTGGAAAAAGCCCCGGAGCCCTCTCAGCTTACCTCAGAGCTCCAGGCCCCGACGCCACTTCTTGCTTCCTCTCCAGAACCACCTTCATCCATGCCACCTGCTGCAGATGTCCTGGTGACACAGGTAACCTGCCAAATGGCCTCATTGCCAAATGCTCTAAACAACATATTCTACTATAAGACAAGAAGAGGTAAGCACAGTCACAACGCCAGGGAGAAACGCTCTCTAGGTGACTCAAGAGGATCATCACCATTACAGCTGGTTGGCAAGACTCAATGTAATGCCATTTTTATATCAACAGTGCTCTCAGATCTGAGGCAACCTCTGTCAAGAAAGTGTGTGTGTGTGTATGTGTGTGTGTATGTGTGTGTCTGCATGTGTGTGTGTGTGTATGTGTGCAGGCGCACACGCAGGAAATCAGAGCTGCTCATGGGAATGTAGTCTACCTTTGGTTGCACAGTCAATGAAATCATAGAGCACATTGTAGAAATTATACAAGGTGAGAAATGAAAGTGATTCTACCTCATAGCCTTGACTCTCATGTACAGAATAGAGGAAGTAAACAGAGAAACCGCAGGAGTTCATGTAGCTTCCCCTGAAGCACAACTTCATTTCCTTTGATGGACAAGCAAGCAAAGCCATCTGTTGGTCATTTTAAAGAGTGTGGTTAAAGGTATCCTAGGAAAGTGGGGACTTCTGGGGCACAAAATCCCAGTCACTGAGTGTGGTGGGGAAAGCAGGCTCATCCAAAGGGGTCCTGGTTCTGCTTCCCAAAGGGGTCCTGGTTCTGCTTCTGTGGGTTGAGATGGTTGACAGAGCCAGGACACCACAGAGAACCCAGACATGGAATTGCAATCTGTATTCTGGTTTCCAAGGAATCCAGGATGAAACACTTTTTATTTCCCAGAACCTTGAACTTCTGAACATCCCGGCCGCACTGGCATTGAAAGAAGGGTAGACAGTAATGAGGGCTGGGTTTGATTAATTAGGTCAGCATTGGTTTTTTAAAATCCGTTTTGGGGACCCACGCATAATGCCAGCGTTAATTTTGGTCAATAACTTGCTGTCTGAGGTATTTCGTAAACAAATTTTCACTCGAGGTTTCTACTTTCTCCCTCTCTGGGCTCCCATCTGGTGGGTGGTAAGCCCAGAGCCTGTGGATGCCTGTCAGAGGCATAGGGCTGTGGCCAGCATTCTGCCCCAGCATCCCCCAGAGAGCTCAGGGTGTTCAAACCCAAAGGGAAATGACACCAACTACTTTTTTCCTCTTCTTTTTCACTTGTGACCCCATCTGTTCTGATTAAGAGGGAGGTGGTGCCCATTGGCTCTCAGCCGACCACACAATCTGAAACTCCAAGCCCTTCGGCAGCGGAAACCGCGGATCCCTTGTTTTACCCTAGTTGGTATAAAGGCCAAAACCGGAAAACCAACTCCAACCCGCCTTGCACTCCTGGGAGTGAAGGTCTGGGGCAAATAGGGCGTCCTGGTGCTGAGGATTCCAGTACGCAGTCTGCAGGAGTGGCAGGAGCCACAGCCAATGAGCAGGCAGCAGTGAGTGGTAAGGAATCTAGTTCGCCTGCTGCTACCTCTCAGGTTAGTGTTGAATCTCTTCTGTCTGAATGCTTCCCCACACCTGCTACAATCCTGCTGGAATAGGCGCAGAGAGCAGGGCTTTCTAGGGAGCAGAGGGAAGCCACTGCCTGAGCAAATGCAGCAACGTCTTATCCTCCAATGCTGGCTTGCACGTTAGCGTTCTACCCCAGAATAAACAAAGAACCAAACTGAACTCCCTTTGCCCATGGGCGACCTCATCCCAGGCTTTCCAGGGATGGGGCACAAGCAAGTGTAGCCCTTAGGCATGGTGTGCAAAGCCGCCTTATCTTCAGTGACTGGCTGGCTGGCGTCTGTGGTTCTTTGTGAAATTCACTCGCCCTTACTCGGCTTTTAGGATCTCCTCTTGGGCTTCCAAAGACTAATCGCCTGCCTTGGAGTCATTCCTAGCGAACACCAATTGGTTTAAACTGGCTCTGTAAAATAATCTGCGATTCATGCCTTCCAGAAATGTGCTTGCCATGACCAGATAGTCTTTGTTCCATTAAACCTGTGCTTCCTAAATTTGTGTCCTGGGGGCAGGAAAACATGGAGAGTTTCCTCCATTAAGGTCTCTTGGTAACTTAAAAAAAAAGTATTTGATAATATAACTTGATAAATTTTTATTTTTATAATGAAAATTTGAAGTCCAAGTCTTCCTTCTGTGGCTTAGTTAGATGTTTGCATGTCTCCGTGAGCCAATAGAACACATCTACAGGTTCTTTCTGAGGAAGAAGGTCAGTCATCCCAGACACGGGATTCCTAAGTTAGGTGTGAGGAGTGAGTGTTGCTGGGATAGTCAGGAAGCTGTCACTCAGCGTCCATGGGCCATCCAGTGACAGTGGACAATAAGCAACACGATTTCATTGTATCTGCTCGAGTGGACCCCAGACTCTCCAGGAAACAAAAGGGCAGCGTTTTAGAGAGTTAGAAGTGTCATGCTTTTACACCTGATCTTCATTCATAGACACAAGATGACAAAAGTCCATGTTTGTAAAGTAACCTTTCCAGGGCCAGTTTTAGGTTAGAAAGCAGCAAAAACAATGAGATGGACTGATTCGTCTAGAAATTGAATGGAGATGTCCGTATTTGAGGAGGAAGAATTGTTTTCTTTAGCGGCAATGCAATTTCCCCACAAGGAACGCATAGTAGGTCTCCCACTCACGACAGAAAGTTTGTGTAAATGATATTGGAGAAGCAATGTGTGATGATGTCAGTGAAGATTTCTTCTTGTTTTCTCACAGGAGTTAGCAATCTGCCTAGCACTTCTGGCTTTTCTTATTCTCCACTACATCTGGAGTCAGATTCAGTGCTTGATTTGTGCTTTAATGGGTAGGAATTGTCTTCTTTTCTGTTTGCTAACATCTCCCGTCTTCTCTTCCGTAGTAGTCCTCTTCTTTAGGCCCAGAGATGCACTTGGGTTTGGGTCTCTAAAACCATGTTCACGTCAGGGCCACAAGCTCCCTCCCTGCGGTACCTCTGTAGGAGCCCCTGCACCTCTGAAGGAGGCCCCGTCTGTTTTCTGTTCCTGCATGGAGAACCTTGACCCAGAACAGCGACTCTGTGAGCAATTATTCAGTAATCCAGTAGGAGACGACCCTCCAGGGCCATTATGGGAGTACAGCTGTACTAGGCATGCTTGACACGTAAGGACTCTATTATAGTGCAGGGAGACACAGCAAAAAACCCATTCGGGTTGAGGGTGCATTTCCTGTTCACCCAGCCAGGCCCAGGAAGTAGCTGCTGTCAGGAATGCTGTCCAGGGCGGTCTCTGCTCTAGACTATGACTTGGTTCCCTTTGTACCCTCCTTCTCTTCAGGGTCTTTCCCTGGAGAAGAGGTCTCTGAGATAAAGATGTTACAAGTGCAGCAGCCATTAGACCCACTGACTAAAGAGCCAGGCGTTAATGCGCAAACAGCAACCATAAGAATCTAAAGCAAAGAAAAACCACTATTTTGTTCAACAGCCCCAGCCTTTTGGATCAAGCTACATTTCTCATAGACAAGCTATGAGGTTTGCTTTGGGACTGGCACCTTACCTTTGGAATACTCTTTTGAAAATTACCCATTTAGTTCATGCATGAAGTGCGTGAACTCATGTGCATGAATTTTTGAGTGATGGGCCCTACTGGCCTAAGCGCTCGCTCCCTTTCCCTTAACCAAAAAGCAGTCCAGCATTCTGGTGCTAAGAGGTGTCAGCTATTTCTGGTTCCCTAACCTCCCGTGATAGGCCTCTTCATGTCTCCCTAGCCTCCCATTCTTCAGAGGCTGTAGGAGCTCTTTGTGGACCAGTCGTGTCTGTAACTGTGTGAGCAGAAGCCCCACCCACCTTCTGCCTAAGAGTCAGCTGGGGACTTACACACTCAAGTCTTCGGCATGCACAGACTCTTTCCAGCTGCCTGACACCTCCTTCCACATGATTTGTGGTAAAATGGAGTCATAGACAATGGGTTCGGGGACAAAAATGGGGAGAGATGAGAACGTGGTGATTGGAAGCAGGGCCTAACTGTGGATCTGAATAATTGTCTGAAGAGTCCCGTTTACGTTCCAAGAATGTGGGTTTGGAACCTTGTCGCCATGCATCCTTTCAATCCCCTCCGAGGCTGTAAGGGGAGGGTCATGCTTCATGGCTGTATGGCTGTCCTTCACCAACCTCATGCCATTGTCTGCTGACATTCATCTGCCTGTGTGGTGAGCTGGGAGTGAGGCAAGGGGTGGGCTTTGAGCCAGTGGGTTGCCTCGGTTCCTCTTCCTTCCTGCCTGCCCAGTGTCTTTTAATGGCTCCCATGGAAGAATCTATCCACATCACTCAACTGGAGCTGCACAGGGAACAGGAGTCTCTGGGAAAATGTCTCTGTCTGGGGTGGATTAGCTCAGCAACTGCTGATACTTGAGCTGGACTTGGCAGGTGCTTCAAGGTCAGAGGACCGCCCCTTCCCCCCTTCCACAATTGCACCTGTGTGCCCGCACTTCACACACACACACACACACACACACACACACGAGAGGGGAGGGGAGAGAGGGGGAAGAGAGAGAGAGAGAAAGAGAAGCAGGAGTCAAGTACTGTGAATAATATCAACTATCTCACTAGAAGATGAAGCTACAGTAACAAGAGATGAAAACTTTACCATGTTATAGCTCTTTGCTGTTCCAAGACTAGACTGCCCACTGTTCCATTCTCCAAGCCTGAGAATAGATACTCAAATCATGTAGAGATTCTGCCAAGACTCCTGGGAATGGAGACACCAATGTGATTAGAGAAAGGACGTTCGATCTACCTGTGTCTGACTGAGCATTCTGTTGCTTGTGCCTCGGTTTTTTCACCAGGAAAATAAGGGGAGTGGATGAGCTGATTCATTTACTTAGACAGCTGTAGAGAGAGACTGAGAAGGAATGAGAAGTTCAGAGCGTGTTTCAGGATATTTTCATGGCGCGGGGGAGGGGGGTGTTACAGACTTGGGCCTGGCACAAGTTATTCGGAGTAGTATAATAAGACGAGATGCCCCGTGAACAGACAATCCTTTGCATTTCTCGAATTGCATTTACAGTTGCTGCATCCTCACAGAAGTTCCTGGCTTCCCATGCTGACTTACACATATCTCCCGGGTACCTATTTATAGCTCAGTAGTTGCACCGTTGTTCCTCTTGTTTGTGAAGCTGTGAGTTCCGTGCAACCCGTGATGATTGCACCCTGAAGTCCATGTAAGGCTTCTTAAACATCCTGTGGCCCAGTAGAGCAAAGACAAAGGCACACATCAGAGGCGGTCCTAATACGAAACGGGTGACTCTGAATGGCTTTTAAAGTCAGCTTTACTGAGCTATGCGTACCCTGAAACTCACCCCATGTGAGTGTACAGTTTAAGTAGTCGTGACAAATCCGTGTCATTTCGTAGCTATCAACGTGGTTATTTACAATGTTCCAGACCCCGTCCAAATTTCCCTGGCCTTTAACAGGCTTGCTTTGAAGTGTAAATCTGTCTTCAGCTTTTACTAACTTCAGTTTCTCACTTTTCCTGTATGGTTTCTGCTTTTTGTTGTTCTATTTAAGAAATATTTCCTTAATTTTAAATCACGGGGATTTGCACCTACTCGCTATGACTTTTTTTTTTTAAAAAGAAATCATTTTATCTCTTAAGTTCTGGTGTAATTTCTAAGTTTCATATGCAAGATGAGGCTGAAGGGCGTCATTCCTTGTCTTGGTTTTTGGATACCTGTCATTTGTTGCACCGACACATTTTTCTTTCCTTTGTTGAAGATTTCCCCTTCCTTCTAGAAACATAAACGTAGCTGGCCGTACATGTGTGGGCCTGTTTCTCGGTTCTGTTTTGTGCCGTTGCTCTACGTTTTCTCCATCAGTTGATTATTATAGTTTCATAAAACCTTCACACGAATAAGCTTTGCCACCTTTGATCTAGCTTCAAAATGATTTTTTTTACTATTTATTATTCTTACTAATCTCTTGAAGAATTAACTCAGTTTTATTGGTTTTCTTTATTTTTGGTCGATTTTCTATTTTGCTATTTCTATTATTTATTGTTTGTCTCCTTTCTTACTCTTTATCTTTCTTATTTTTTATGATGAAAGCTTGGGTTGTGGATTTGTTATCTTTCTTGTTCTTCAATATGGATGTTCCAGGCCCTAGAACTCATTGCTTTCCCTGGATCCCACAAGTTTTAGCGTGTTGTATTTTCTTTTAATTTTGATGATTAAAACATCTCTTGATGAATGTGCTGATTTCTTCACAGAGGCATGACTTATTTAGATGAGGGGTCGCTAAAGTTTGAGACACTGGGGATTTTCTCCCAGAGTTTTTTTCTGTTTGACTTCTAATTTGATTTTGCTATGGAAACAGAATTGCTCTATCTGCACTCACCCTTCTAAGTTTATTAAGTTTTACAACCTGGAATGTGACTCAGCTTGCAGAACATAAAAGTGTTCTGTGAAATGCAGAAATTTCCTGTTATGGTTGACATTTTCTATAAATGTCAGTTACAGCAATTGATG